GAAAGGTGCGGCGAGGGGCTGGGCGACCTCAAGGGGGCACTATGGCAAATGGTAGCGCCAGCTGCGCCGGCCGCGGGTAGCGCCACGCCGGCGTCTGCTGCGGGCAGCTCCGCGCCGGCGCGGGCTCCGCCACTTGCGGCGGGAGCAAAGGCAGCCGCGAAAGCTGCAAGACCACCGCCTGCGCCGCGCCATGTTGCAGCAGGAGGAGGAGGAGGAGTGTGGGGGGGTCCAGGACCCAGGAAACTCTACGTCCTCAAGAGGGACATCGAAGCCTGCGGGCTGACTCCCGACTGTGTAGCGTGCGCGAACATTGCGTTCGGGATGCCGGCATGAGGCGCGCGCTCTGCCGAGCGCGCGCAGAGAATCAAGGCGCGCATTGAAGGATATGTGCAGCAACGAAGGCGGGTGGAAACGCGGCGGGCGCGCGGGCGGCCGGACGTGCCCGCGCGGCCCGCTGGCGGCTCCACGGCGGACGCGTCGGGGGCGCTTCGGCAGGCAGGAATCCCGGGGGGGCCGCCGGGGCCGGCAGAAGAGCGGCCAGCAGCCAAAAGGGGGGTGGGCCAGAAGCCGACGGCACTGGGCCGCGCGGCGCTGAAGCGACCGCCAGGAGATCCACCTGGCGATCCAAGGCTAGAGACGGCGGGCGATGACGTGATCGCGCCGCCGGCGGTGCAGGCTCAGGCAGCCGAGGCATCGGCAGGAGCGAGCGCAAGCTCGTCGGCAGGTCCGGCTGCGGGGGGTGCCGCGCTGGGAGGGCCAGATGTGGCCATGGGGGGCTTCTCGGCAAGAAAGGAGGAGCTAAGACGCATGTGCGAGAGTAGGGTCGTCGAGGCCTATCGTGCAAATTGCGCCGACTTGTCGTCGTCTGAACTTGATGACGTCACTCAGATGGCTCTAGGGGTAGGGGCCGTCGAGGTGCTGGGCGCGTGCCCTGGAAGGCGCGCGGTTCGCAATCGACTTGCCCGGCAGCGTGGGGTTCAGTCCCGGAGGGTGCATGGGCATGGGGCGCCCGCGGCTTGACGGTGAAAAATGGGATCTCGCTCGAGCAGAAAATGTCTTTGAGTGGTTCGAGGCGCTGGGGCGCGAAGATCCTCGCATCGTCGTGGGGTCGCCTCCTCTTATAGCCTTCCCTCAATTACGACGTGCTCATGAGAAGAGGCGCGAGGAGGATGATCGCAAGTAGGACTGGGGGGGACAGGCGAGGGGAACTTGTGGGTTGCTGCATGCGAAGGCTACAGGAGGCAGGCAAGGAGGGGGCGATACTTCATGCGCGAGCACCCACGCGGCGCCAGCAGCTGGGGGGGGGGGTGAAGGAGGTAGAGGAGGTCATGAGGGAAGATGGAGTGGTGCAAGTGAACGGTCCCGCGTGCAGGTGGGGCGGGGCAGTTACGGCAGTGCGACCTTCAAGCGGGCCCAAGCGAGATTCATGACCAATCTCCCAGAGCTAGCCGCAGAACCGCGCAAACAGAGCTTTTTCGAGAAAGGCGGCGGGAAGCCCCGCGCCCAGGAGTTACTTGTGCATGTGATGCTGGAAGGTGGCCTCGTCAGGAGGTCGCGCTTGCTCGCGCCAGTGCTGACGCAGTGCCTTCTTCCAGCCACTCTTGAAAGCATGGGAGCTGGCGGCCAGTTGCCCGATCTGGCCGCCGTAACAGCTGGCCCTGTACCGGTCGGCCCAAAACCTTTCGAAGCTGGCAAGGAGGGCCTGGGCGATGACGAGCGCAATTGGGGCGACGTGAGCGGAGGCTGGCCGGGCCCACAGATGGTTCGAGAAGCGCGGCGGGTAGAGCCAGAGTGGCTGCGCGAGCAGGGCGTTTACGAGAAATGGGCGACGGGGGAGTGCAGGGGCGTCGCAGGACAAGGCTCATGAAGTTGATGTGGGCTGACGCTTACATGGGGGGCCACGGGGGGCCGAACTACAGGTCGCGGATTGTCGTGCGGGAGAAGCGCGGCAAGGGCGAGGCATGACGAAGACTCTCAGCGGCGCCTCCCTTCGCGGCAATCAAGATTGTCGGCGGCGTATGAGGTGGAGGTCCTGCAGGACCATGTCTATGGGGGGCAATCTGGCAACGCGATGAAATTGCAGTCTTGGAAGCAGACGGACACGAGCCAGGCGAAGCCAATCCAGCTATGTCTACACCATGAGCAGCGACTTACGGTCACTTGTCCAGGGAGACGATTTCTGCGCCTTTGGAGACGAGGGGTCTTTGGACGAACTGGAAAGGACGCTTCGGCCTCCGTGCGATATCAAAGTCGCGGGGGGCCGCTGGCTCGGGGCCACGAGTGACCGAGCAGTGGTCTTCTTGAGTTGTATTTTGCGTGCTGTTGGGTCGCCGGGGCGAGCGTTGCGCGGTTGAATCAGATCCTTGCCGCGCAGACATGATCGTGGCAGACGTGAAACTAGCAGGAGAGGAGGCGAAAGTTTTGGACACGCCAGGGTCGAAGAAAGAGGAAGCATAACACGAGGAGAGAGAAACTTCGCCACTATTCACGGGGCATGCGGTTAAGCAGTGCAGAAGTGTGACGATGCGTGCATCTTATCCTTTTTCAGATCGTGCAGACATTGGAGACGTAGTGAAGAACTAGGCAAAGTACATGCAATCACCGTGGCAGGTAGATGCTGTGCGCCTGAAAAGGTTGGCCAGATACCTCAAGGGTCGGCCGCGTGTCGTGCAGAAGTTTACCAGGGTCAGGAACGCTGCCTCCGATGACGTCGTCAAGGTGGTGATCATGGGGGACAGCGTGTCAACCGTTGGCCAAGTTGCCCTCGCCGGCAAGCGCGCGGTGAAGCACCTGTGCAACATCTTGCAGGTGATCGGTCTCTCGTCCGGCGAGAAAGATTATCCCGGCAAAGCAACCTAACAGCGATGTGTAGAAGCATATCTGAAAGCATTCCCCTTAAGATTCAGATGAAAATCCAGTTGTAGAATTCTGCAGTTCTCGCAGTCGTAGTCGCATTCGCGATGACAGTCGCAGCGGCAACGGCAGTCGCAGTCACAGCCTCAGCCTCAGCCTGCCTCAGCCTCAGCCTCAGCCTGCCTCAGCCTCAGCCTGCCTCAGCCTCAGCCTCAGCCTGCTTCAGCCTCAGCCTCAGTCTGCCTTCAGCCTCGGCCTCAGCCTCAGCCTCAGCCTCAGCCTCAGCCTTCAGCCTCAGCCTCAGCCTGCCCTAGCCTCAGCCTCAGTCTGCTTCAGCCTCAGCCTCAGTCTGCCTTCAGCCTCGGCCTCAGCCTCAGCCTGCCTCAGCCTCAGCCTGCCTCGGCCGCAGATCAGCCTGCCTCAGCATTCAAAATGTGGCCCACGAATGGAGTTTGGGAATTAGAAGAACACGAAGTGGCCTACAGTTGGCTCCGGGCATTCAAAATGTGCCCAGGAATGGAGTTCTGGGAACTTGAAGAGCACGAAGTGGCCTACAGTTGGCTCCGGGCATCCAAAATGTGGCCCGGGAATGGAGTTCTGGGAATCGAAGAGCACGAAGTGGCCTACAGTTGGCTCCGGGCATCCAAAATGTGGCCCGGGAATGGAGTTCTGGGAACTCGAAGAGCACGAAGTGGCCTACAGTTGGCTCCGGGCATTCAAACTGTGGCCCGAAGAGCACGAAGTGGACAGTGGCCTCAAAACAGAAGTCGAAGAGCACGAAGTGGCTTACAGTTGGCTCTGGGCATTCAGAATGTGGCCCGGGAATGGAGTTCTGGGAGGTCGAAGAGCACGAAGTGTGTGATTGTTTGCTTAAAACGACTTCTGCGGCACCCTGTCCGGCACCCGCCCAGACCCCCCTGTGGAGTCATCTGCTGCTCTCTTTTGACACCACTAGAAACCTATCAGAACAAGCTGTTAGGTAAGTACTATGCCATGAGCGCGGGTTCTTGTGCAGGACTTGGCATCAAGGGGGTGCTAGAAGATTGAATGTGGTGTGCGAGCTGAAAGTGGTCTCTGATTCACCCAGCAGCACGAGTCTTTTCTTCGAGGAGAGGAGTAGGCAAGCAGCAACGCATCCAGAAGCTACTGGGTACAAGAACGACTTGCTATGATACATCTGGATCTCGGTAAGATCGGCGCGAAGGAGAACAGGGCATACTTGCTCACCAAGCCGCTTGCGAAGAGGGACATGGAGGAGCACGTGACAGGGGTGCACCAAGAGTTTCTGGAAGGGCGAGCGCAGTCTGGCCTGCGCCTACTCTGACCAGACCGCAGAGGAGCCAGAAGGCGAAACGTTGAGCGCCGAGCCCGAGCTCCACCGTGAGCTTGGAAGCGGGGAGCACCGCGTCAGGCCTGAGCCCGACGCCGCGCCTAGCTGCGGGTAGCCCCGTGCCAGGCGCAACGCGACTGAGCACAGCGCCTTGCCACTGCCTAGTTGTGGGTCGCCACAGCTCCGCTACCTTTTCTGGGTGGCGAGGGCCGTCGACCAGACTGACAGAGCGCCGCGAGACGGGGTGCAGCCCGAATCGCTGCGAGGAGGGGTGACTATTCCCCCCCTCAGACGCTTGTAGTAGCAGGAGTTCGAGTAGCATCAGCAGTGCAGAGCATCATGTAGCATATGCGTTCACATTCCATAGCCCCTTTCGGCAAAAGACTTCTTCAGTTTGGCCTCCTTGGGTGGTCTTCTCCGCGTCGCCACCGCTGAGGTCAGCTGCCGTCCGTGACGTTTTCCTTTGGTCTCGCAGGCCTTGAGCAGACCCGAGTGGCCCTGGACGCGTCGGCGTCTTGGCCCCGATCTTTGAGGCTTGGCCAGTCTTTCGCTGCGCACGGGCCTGTCCGCAGCTGTGCCCATTTTTCGGCTGGCTGGGCTTCCTCTCTCCCAGCTTGCCGCCAGAGCCTGTGGCAGCTGGACATCCGCGGGCCAAAAATTCCTCCTCCTCCTCTTCCTCCTCCTCCTCCTCCTCCTCTTTCTCCTCCTCCCCCTCCTCCTCCAGTTTCCCCCCCTTCCTGCTACTCCTTGTCCGCAGGCCTCGCCCGCTTTCCCCCCTCTCTTTTCCTGCTCTCCTTGTCCGCCCAGCGATTCGGAGACGATCCTTGTCGCCGGGCCCCCCTCCTCCGCCCCGATCCCCCTCTCAGCGTTGGGCTGGCGGGCGACGCTGGGGCATCCCAGCCAACCGCGCTCGCCTGCGCCTGGGTCGCGATGCCGGCCATGTCCAAGCTATCTCAGGCGGGCGGGATGGGAGGAGGGGGGTGGGTGGAAAAAACGGAGGGAGGGGGGTTGGGGGAATGGGAATGTGAACGGGACGATAACCAATGTCAGAATAATGGCCTATGTGGACAACAGTTCTAAGGATGACCGCGAGGAAATTTGTCCAACAATTCCTTGCGCTTCTTGGTGATATTCCTTGGGTCGCACGGGGACTCGCCGTAACTCCCACACGCGCCACACATCAAACACGAATATTCGTTATGACAAAAGGGCTTGTGCGATGTCCTCCCATGTGGCCTCCCGACTCGCCACGGGGACCAAACATATCCTCCACTCCCTTCAGAGCGGTTTCCAGCTCTACCACTCCGATCAACAAATCGAGGGAGGGGCGAGAAAAGACAATAAGGGGAGGGAGGAATTGAGGATTGTACGGTGGACGCGGGCGGGTGGGATGGGAAAAGAGAAGGGGGGAGGGATGATGGGACGGAGGGGGAGCGGGACGCAGGAAAGGAGGGAACAGAAGGGAACAGGTGGAGGGGGGGAGGCGGGGGGAGCAGGAGGAGCAGAGGGGATAGGGGGGAGGGTGGACGAATGAGTGGAGAGAAGGGTGGAGAAAAGGCAGGGGATGGGGGTCAGAGGAGGGTACTCCTGGACCTTCGGCTGCGTCTCAGGTTGTTCGCACTTTCTCCCCCTTCAGGTGCTCCCTGCCCCCCCCCTCCCTCTGGGAGCGACCGCCGTTCGGGCCCTGACTGAGCGGTGGTTGCTTCGCGGGGCGGGGGGATTTGCACCAACTCCCGGCCAAGCTTCGCTCGACTGGACTGCCCCCCTCCCCCCCTCCTTCGCCGTCCTCCTCCTTGTCCTTCTCGCGCTGCTCCCCCTAGCTCCCCCTGCTCCTCCTCCTCCTCCTCCCCCTCCTCCTCCTCCTCCTCCTCCTCCTCCTCCTCCTCCTCCTCCTCCTCCTCCTCCTCCTCCTCCTCCTCCTCCTCCCCCCGTCCTCCCCTGCTCCCTCGTCCTCCCCTCCCTCCGCTCTCCCGCTGCTACCGACTCTCCTCCTCGTTTCCCCCCTGCGTCTGCCAACGCACCCGTGCGCGCTATGGCCTCTCCTTTCGAGTAGGGGATCGACTGCATAATTGATCTACCTCAAACTTGAAATGTTGAAATGTTCTTCCAATGTACGAAACAGACGTGTATTGTTCTTAGATCTAAGTCCATGCCGATTTTTCTCGGAGATTTGACGATCATTCAATTCTGGGATAAGTCTATTCTGCAGTCGATCCCCTACTCGACCTCTGGCTGCCCGAGCCCGCCGAAGCTCTGGAGCCGCGCCCGCTCCCTCGACGTGCCCTCGGTGCCGCCCCGTCTTGAGAGACTGCTGACAAGACTGCGCGGCGTAGTTGGGGCGGCACGAACCTCCGTCGACATGTTACCTTTTCAGCCGTCTCGCTTGTCTTCCGTTTCACCCGGGTCGCTCCACTCCGCGGGGTTGAGGCTCGGATAGGCCCGGGAATTCGGCGCTTGGGGGCCAGGAAGTGGATGGCGTATTGCGCCGATGCGTGGCAGGCCAGAACCAGCGGAGCGACACGCTATCCAAAAGCTCCCGACCGTGTGCCCCGATATTCATTGGAGGTGCAACACGCACGTCGGGTCCGGGAGCCGGTCCCTCCCCATCGTTTCTCCCGGCTCTTTCGAATTCGGCGACGTAAGCATGCCCACTACCGAGCCAGGACCGAGTCGCTTGTGGCTGGCCGCCTGGTCCGTTGTACGCGAACAGACGGGCCGAGCTCGAGCGACAGATCGTACCTCAGCTCGAGCCGAGCGACCCAGCGCCTCCAGTCGAGGCTGAATGGGTCCCTGGTGCTCGCGCCCTCGTGCATCGGCGTAGAGGACCTCCCCAAGGTCAGAGCACTCGGGGAGCGTACTGCTCAGGAGGGCTCGGACAACGAGTCGCAGCCCTCCGAGGATGAGGTTTTCTGAGCTGATGTTCTTCTGACCCTCCTTCGAGACCAGCCACCAGCACCACCACCTTTAGCGTCGCCCGGTGTCGCCATGGCTTCGAGTCGCACTCTGCCCTCGTGTCGGCTACACGTAAGAGTGGCCTTCCGCTCCAGTGACCCTTGGTGCGGGCTCAAAGGGGTCCCCTCAGTACCTGGCCTGCCCTCTTGGACTTTGCCTTCACGGCCTCTTAAAGCCGCGCGCCAGAGGTCACTCTTGCCTAGGGTCATTCTTGCGTGTAGTCGATCGTGGTCTGTCGCAAGTCGCGGTGGCGAAGGCCGTTGCCGCTGGCGCTGCGCCCTGCCGCGCCTCAGGTGGCGAACGCCGTTGTCTCGCAGCCCTGGGCTTCGCCCCTGGTGTGGCTCACAGGGCCTTGGCGGTGCGCGCCCTCCCTCGAGTCGTGGGCGGCAACGGGCGGCCTCTCCGAATACACGTGTGTTTCGTTGATGCTGGAATCTCTTGGAAACTCTCTTTTTCCAACGGCCGTAGCTCGATACACAAATGGCTCGGGACGTTCAAGCACACGTCTGCACAGAAGTGAGAGCGGGCAGGGCGAAAGCAGAGAGTATGAAAGCACAAGCTGTGGAACACCGCACGCTTCACACGGGGAGGTCGCCTGTCTCCTCGAACTCGTCCGTCGGGTAGTAGCCGAACCCGTCCAGGGCCCAGTTGCAGGTCTGAATCTGCTCGGTCTCGTCTTCCTGGTACCGGATTGGCTGGCAGTCTCCGATCACTCCGTCGTCTAGGATGTCGTGGCGGCCAGCAGCCGACCGCTTCTTGGCCGATGTGACGGAGTCGTCATGTACCAACCTCCAGTAGTCCTTGATCAGGAAGTCGGTCATCGCCGCCCGAGCCTCAGCGCTGCCTTTTGTCAGGCCGTCGGCGGGCATCGCCGCAGAATGCATCCACCTCGTAGTCGTTCCGCTCGAAGCAATGCTCTGACGTAGCCCCAGGGCCTCGATCCCACTCCCACGATCGCCAGCTCCCAAGCCAGCGCTCACGTTGGTCACCAAAGCGTAGTACAGGCCTTTGCAGTTGGTGACCATGGTAGCCGTCGTATTCTTCAGCTCGGAGGGTATAGCACGTAGGTCCACTCGTCTGTTTGTGATTTCCAGGTGGGCTAGGCGTAAGTAGACGGCCTCCTCGTCGGTTATGTTGCCGCTCTGGACCTCGCAACCCAGGCTACGCGAGTAGTCGCGGACACTTCTTTGATACCATCAGCAGCGGGGAGCTTGGAGAGCGTTCTCCTTCCAGGATGCGTCTCTCGGCCATGGCCAGAATGAAACCACCTTGGGATTTGCCATCCCGTCGGACAGCCCACGCAGCGTCATGAAAAGTCACGAACTCAGGGTCGCGAGTGGGTCGGTAGGTCACCAAGGTCTTGGCCACCCCGTGTCTGGTTTGTACTATCTTGTTGATCTTCTGCACGGTGGCATAGGTCGCCTCATTAGAGTAGGATGCTGTAATGTTAGTGTTGGCTGCAATGAGACCCATCCCTTGGCTGGCTAGGTCTTGGAGACCGTCAGCTGCTGCACGACACTTGACACGACACTTGACACGACAGCTCAAGAGAGAGATCAGGGCGATCAGAAGAGCCGCTCGGAGAGGGGCAATCAACAAATTTAGATCTGAATACAAAGACCTGAAACGGATCAGCGGCATGAAGCAGCACACACAAAACGAATTCATACCAAGCATGCTCGACGATAAAGGCGAGCGTCAACACGACAGACAATCAATTGCAGATGTATTTGCTGTTTTTTTTACGCTGCGTTATACCGCGACGCAAACAAGTCGGAATGTTATCATCGCGAGCAATTTCGGACAGCATGCCCAGTAACAGTACCAGCATTCACAATGGAGGAGCTCAGCGCGGCGACAAGCAACTCAAGCAACTCATCAACCTCCTGCTGCTGCTGCTGCTGCTGCTCCTCCTCCTCCTCTTCCTCGTCCGCGTCATCGTCCTCATCGTCGTCGTCGTCGTCGTCGTCGTCCGCCTCCTCCTCTTTCACCTCCTCTTCTTCCTCCTTTTCTTCCTCCTCCTCCTCCATGTCCTCCTCCTCCTCCTCCTTTTCATCCCTCATCCCGATCCCCCCCCCTCCTCCTTTCCGTCGTCGTCCTCCTCCTCCTCCCCCTCCTCCTCCCTCCTTTCTCGTCGTCCCCCTCCGTCCCCCCCTCCTTCCTCCTTGCCCTCGTCGTCGGCTTCCTCTTCGTCCTCGTACTCGTCGTCGTCGTCGTCGTCGTCGTCGTTGTCGTCGTCGTCTTCCTCTCTCTGCTCCTCGTCCTGCTCCTCCTCCCCTCCTCCGCGGAGCGCGCGCGCGCCGGGGGGGTGGGTCGCGGGCTTGTTCAGTGAACGTAGTTTGGGTCGCGGGTGGGTCGCGGGCTCTCCACCTCCACCTGGAAGGAATTCAAAAACAGCCCGCCGCAGGCGCCGAACATTTTGATTTGTACAGTGAACGCGGTTTGGGTCGCGGGTGGGTCGCAGGTTCTCCATTTGGAACAAATGCAAAAGAAGCGCGCCGCAGGCGCCGAAAATTTTTGGGTGGGTCGCGGGGTGGGGTCGGGTGGGTCGCGGGCGCGGTTTGGGTCGCGGGCTCTCCACCTGGAGCGAATGCGAAAGGAACCCGCCGCAGGCGCCGAAAATTTTGGGTGGGTCGCGGGTCGGGCCGCGGGTGGGTTGCGGGTGGGTCGCGGTGGGTTGCGGTGGGTCGCGGGTGGGTCGCGGGTGGGTGGGTCGCGGGTGGGTCGCGTGTGGGTCGCCGGTTGGTCGCCTCGCCGGTTGGTCGCGGGTGGGTCGCCGGGGGGGTCTCGGGGTGGGTCACGGGCGGGTGGCGGGGTGGGTCGCGGGTGGGTCGCGGGTGGGTCGCTGGTGGGTCGCGGGGTGGGATCGCGGGGTGGGTCGCGGGTGGGTCGCGGGTGGGTCGCGGGGTGGGTCGCGGGTGGGTCGCGGGGTGGGTTGCGGGTGGGACGACGATAACAACAAACAACAAACAAGAAACAACAAACAACAAATATCAAACAGCAAACAACAACAATAATCCGCATCGCGGAATTCCACTTCAGCCACGCACCCAGGGACAGTGAATGATCGTGCGGTTCAGCCCCCTCACTGTGACGAACAACCATTTGCTTCAATGGTGACGATTAAGTTGGTACGACGAATAAACTGCTACTGATAGCAACCTACGAAGACGACGAATCATAGTACCATCAGACTCACACTGATATTTGAAGACAAACATACAGTATGTTGAGTATACGACGACGACTCATATTAATGATAAGCCCGTACTAGCAATCATGATCAGGAGTAGAGGTTGAAGAGTAGGAGGAGGAGGAGGAGGAGGAGGAGGAGGAGGAGGAGGAGGACTCTGCCCGATCGCCTATTCCTGCGGCAGGGCCGGAAATCCGCCGTGATGCCGGCCGCTGGCGCGGCCGTGGCGCTCGGGGGCCTCGGCTGCCGCGAGAGGGGGGGCGGCGCTCCAACCGCTTGGAGGAATGAGCGGGGGTCGGGGACATTTGGGAGGAGCGGGGGGGGATATTTGGGAGGGACGAAGGGGACCATCGTAGTGAAATTGCTGGTGCCCTTGAGGGTAGGCATAGCCTAGTTGAGTCGGATTGAGCACATGGGCTCTCCCAGCCTTGGAGCGGCGCCTTGAAGGTTGTGGTGACAAGCCTTCAGGTCCCAGCGTCTGAACAGGGACGCGTGTTGGCACCTGGTACTGTTGGATGGTATGTGTAGTCAGCGCACCTCGAGACAACCACCTCGTTTCGACACCGATGGTTTCACGGGGGGATATGCCGCCGCCTACTTTACAGGTGATAATTCGTGTAGCGTATCTTGCCGCCTGCCCCAGTGCAGCAAAGATCGCAATCCTGATGGTGGCGGGAGTGGTTCCGTTCCACAACGTGGCGGTCTGGGGAAAACGCTTTACAGCAGGCCAGGACGCCACCGGGGGTGTGACAGGGGGGACTTGCTCCACAGCTCGGCGGGTGACCGCCCTACGTTCAATTTCGGTCACGTTTGTGGAACAACTTCGCCAGCCGCCCGAGAAACGCTAACCACCTACTCATGTCATCGCACGGATCTCTACACCCGCTGGCGGGTTACGTTTGAGACGAGATTGCTTCCTTACCTGCTGCCCCCGCACGCGACACTTGCCTGTTTAAAGTCGTGCCAATGGTGGGAGGAGGTATCGCGCGAAAGGGACGCTTCTCGAATCGTCGTGTTGATATCCCTTCAGGCCCTACCCTGGAGCTCCAAGAGTGGAGTGGCGTCCCCATTGCAGCCATGCGGCTGCAAGGGGCAGGGGAGAGGAGCTCGATTGCGACGGGGTTTGGCACATATTGCTGATCAGCGCACAGGGGCAAGATGTCCAAACGCTCTGCTCGCAGAATTGCCCCAAAGCCCTGCGCACAGAAATGCTTAATTTATATCTGCGCGCAAAAATGCCCAGAAGCTCTCGCGGGGCTCGTGCCCCTGTAAATTCCCATACCCCTTTGAAGTCCCGTATCACAGAACAGTCGGTGCAACCTGGTGGCCAGCGCGCGTGGTTGATGCGCGTGGGCACGGGAGCTTCAAATTCTGGAGAACGCTTTGATTGAATGGGTATTGGCTGGCATTCCTGGCTGCGCCAGGTGTGCAACGTAATGTGCCTCTGAGACCATTGAAATCCTTGTAGGCCCTGCCCTGGAGCTTCAACTCTGGAGTGGGTTTTCCACCGTATCCGTGCAGATGCAGAGGAAGACCGTGGCCAGGTGGCTTCAGCTTGGTGGGTGGCACTCCTGGCTACATCAGAGGGTGTCTGGCATTCGGGGCTCGGGGGCCCCAGGAGGCCGCATGGGTGCCCCAGACGGTCACCGAAAGCAACATGTGGGAATCACAGGTCGGTGACTTCAGGAGGCTGCTTGGGTGCCTCAGAAGGTCACTGTGTCGTAGGGTGAGCCCGAGCGAGGACAAATACGAAACTATCGGCCCGCCGCCACCCAGGTCGGTTGGCGACTGTGACCTCCGCTGCTGTGCTGTTCCGTCCCGTGTCAAACAATAACCGTCCCCTCAAGCTCGTGACCGCTCTCTCATGCAGCGGCGGACGACGGAGTGGACAAGAGCGGAAAGCCACAGATTGTCCGCCGAGCTTGGCAGAAGACGTTTGGATGAGACCGTGGCAAGATCTTTCTCGGTCCCCCGCTGGCTGTCTGGTGGCGTCGCTGAAGCATCCTACGACATCAAAGCTGGGCCCACAGCTGCGGCGATACCACTGCCGGCGCGCTGAATGGATGGGCAAGAGATGGGCCCAAGGAGGGAGGTGAACTGAAAGAGGGAGGCAATCTCGCTTAAGACACGCGAGGTTCTCTGTTTCCGAACATGTCCCGCACGCATTACATATTCAGTTTATACTGAGAAGGTAGTTGGAAATATGCAGGACACGCTTCCGAGAGTTCTGCACTCGTTGGGTGAAGGCTTCGCTATGGCCTCTGCATGGGCTGCTGGTCGGTGCTGGTTTCTTGGCCCCCTGGCGAAAGCCAGTCAGAAAACCGCGGCATACCCACCTGCTGTGCTTCCATGTCCAACCGTGCTCTCGGATCGGGCAGCGCGGCCGGCGATCGGGCGCCAGTGGGGGACAGGACGAGGGGAAGGAGGAGAGAGGAGCAGGAGGACGAGGAAGAGGAGGAACAGAAGGAGGAGGACGACGAGAACGAGGACGAGGAGGAGGATGAGGAGGTGGAGGAAGGGGGGGAGGCCCGGAATCGACCGATACTGAACGATCTGGCGGTCGGAACGCCGCCGATCGTTCGAGGTTGACCACGCGGTGTCAGATCCCAACGCCAGGGTCTTCACGACACGAGCCTGCTGTAGTTCTCTTAGCTCTTCGTGTATCCCCACCAGCCCGTTCAGGAATAATGCCCAGGCGAGTTGCATTGATCAGTGAGGTTTAGCAGCAAGCAGTGGAACAAAGAGAGTTACAACCGCAAAAACCGAAGATCCTAATCAGAGTGAACATTCGCAGGAATGATCCAGAAACGCCTTCACGGATCCGTCGATATGGGAGCCTTTCGGCAGCTTGTTTGGGCCGTCTTGGGGCCCTCTTTGGGCAATTTCGGAGGCGCCTGGGTCTCTCTTGGGGCCCTTTTGGCGCTCTGGGGGCTCTCTTGGGAGCCTGGGAGGCCCTCTTGGAACCGTGTCGGAGGCCTTCGATCAACAAAGGGGGGGGTCCTTAATTTCCCCCCGTCATAGGCCGACACGTCGCCTCGTGAGGCCCTTTTGGGTTGCTGTTGGGGCGCTCTTAGACGTTACTGGGGCCATCTCAGGGTCCTCCTTGGACTCTTTGGAACCATGAGCCGTTTTGGGGCCTCAGAAGACAGTTGATATCGAACATGGGAGAACGCAGCCGTTATAGTTTTAATAGGTATTGGATATGGTTTGACCTCTCGGAGGGATCCTTGGGAGGCTCCGTGGCCACTCGGAACCGTCTTGGGACGGTCTTGGCGCCTATTAGAGGCATGGTTGGGGCTATCTTGACCCGTCTTGGGATAGCTTGAGCCATCTTGGAGGTCATCTTGGCTTTCTGGAGCCGTTTCGGGCCATCCTGTTCGCGCTATTTGGCAGTCGCGCCCTCCCCCCCCCCGTCGAGACCCATGAACAGGGGGTAGGAGGAGAGGTACACTTCTCCATTCTCCCAAAGGGGGAAGAAGGAGGTTGGAATAACTGACTCGCTAAGTCACCCACGGCCAGAGGGCTGATAGCAATAGGCTCGCTCGCTCAACGTTGGCATGGGACGAATCCGTGCTCATGATCGAACTGCTAGGCCACCTCAAATGCACAATAGAAGTGGGCAACGGAGAGGAAGCAGGATAAAGAGAGAGAGGAAGGAGCCGTGGCCTACTCCAGGCAGTCGATCCAGGCAGACCGAGCTCTCTCCCTCTCGCGAGCCTCCCCTTCCCCAGGGCTTGGCTCGCAAACGCAGGCCGGCGGCGGGGGGATAATGACCCTCGCCTGACGGGCAGCGGCGGCCTTCTCAGCACGCATGCGCCGAGCCGCCTCTCGGTTGGCGGCAATCCTGGCTTGTTGTTGGGAGCAAAGGGGGAGAGGAGCGGGGGGAGGCGGAGACGGGGAAGAGGGAGGCGAGGGGGGGATCAACAGCCAGGATCCCGCCTGCTCCTCTGGAGTACCAAGGAGAGGGTCGGCCACCTCCTGCTCAGCCACAGCATCCTCGAACGAGTGGGGCTGGTCAGCAGCAGCATGCCGATCCTCTTCTGTAAGATCCTCGGACTCGGATTCGGAGTCGAAAAATCGTGCACGCTCAGGATCTGCTTTGCTACTGTCCCTGGAGCCGAAACCCGCAAAATCGGGCGCAGGGACCGTTGCCTCGGCCACCCCACGGTCGGAAGAATCAAAAAGGCGATTAAAGATTCTCGGACCTCGTGGAGGTCGGGCGGGTACTCGACAACGTCGACTTCGCCGTCGGAGGAGGAAGGGGGAGGCTCAACCGGAGGAAGGAAGGAGCCAACGCTGTCTACTCTTCCCGTGGCTAGTGCCTTGCACAAGCCTGCAGGGTACGTCTTTTTTCTGAGCCGTTAGAAACTGGCCCTCTGAGTTTTTACCAAGGAGGACCTTGTGGGCTTGGCGCCCACGAGAGCACCTGCCAACGCCAGGGGTGTCCCGAAGAAGTCTGGGCAGAGAGCCCATTCTAATGGACAGGATGCAAGTAGGGGCTCTACCCACAGTGCTAGGGTTCACCTGAGGACTCTGGTGTTCACACTGGTCAAACTCTGTGGTAGCGGCGCAAGGAGCACCAGCTAGGGCCTGCAAGGGCCGCTATCCATTGAAACGAGGTGGGAGCCCGCGGGGCCCACGTGGGGGGTGCTGGATGTTCCATCCACCCCCTGTGCCTGCCCTCAGATGTTCAGCCAAGAGACGCACCAAGGAGTACAATAGCTGAGACCCAATCCGTGACTGTTCCGACTGTTGTTGCGATACCCACGGAAGTCCCCACACATGATCAGTAGACCTGAGAGGGGAGGGCCTCCCTCGTGCCATGTGGACGCCGACCAGGTTTTACAAGGAGGCCCCCCCTGTGTTGACAACCCTGTGGCACCGTATGTGTTCAATCCACTCGAGCATCGTGGCCTCCCGAGTCAAATCGCCTCCGATTGGGTCAATCGCTATGTCAACGCTGAGTATCACTATCTCGACCTTGGGTTTCGTGAGTGCGAACTCTATCTGCCACTGAACATCACCTGCGCGCCTCTGGCCGCAGTATAGGTTGAGCACAAGAAGCAAGATCTGCGGATCCTGATCGGCGCAGACACTGATGATATACCTTGATATTCCCCTGGGTTGTAGAGGTAAAAGGGAGGCTCTTTGTCGGGCGTCTCCGGGGGCTCAACGTCCTTGAAGATGCTCAGATACTCTTCTATCTTGTCATTAGGCATGGCCGGGTTTGTCTCAAGGAAGA